TGAAGTGGTGGGATGCCCACACGCTGCGAGCCTCTGGCAGGGGATGTGCGAGAGAGGCACGTGCTCATCGCGTCGCCGCTCGGTTCGGCAACGTGCGGCTGATTGACAATTGGAGTTTGGCTGAGATTGAAAATATAGAACTGTGGAAAGCCCGTGCCTAGCAAAGAGACACCGAACCAACATGCTGAAATGGCTGAGATCAGTCCAATTGTTGTTGTTCTGCCGGTTGATGGCGAGGTAGCTGGCGGGCGCAGCATTCAGGGCCACTTCCCTGCCGCAAGCCATTGGGCCATTACAAACGAATGGGCTGAAGAAGGCATGCAGAACAGGTGTGGTAAAGCGGGCGCATATCAGTGCTCTGGGGGCGTGGGTCAAGCCGGCGAAACGCCGGCGCCAGCGCTGGCGCCGGCGCCACCGGTGATGCACGGTCAGGATGCCTCGATCAGCACCTGCTGAAGGCTGCCTGCGCGCCCTGCTTGGAGGCCCTGCTGGCGTCGCACCCTTGCCGGGCGCTTCGGCTGTTTGTCAGGGGAGGCAGGGGCAGCGGTGGCTCGGCGGTGTGCGCCCACCTCGTCCACCAGCTCTGGGCTGCCTGCCCCGCTCTCCAGCTGCTCCGCGTGCGCTGCTGCTGCCGTCAGCGACTCGTACACTTGGGAGCACAGGTGGTCGCGCAGCATGTTGGGCGAGATGAGGAGGCCCTCCGCTGCAATGGTTCAGTGCATCATTTGTTTGCCCAAGCTAACTACTACTCCATGAAGCTGCCTGGTGTCCTGGTGTCCACAGAGCCTGCTGCTGGCTTCTCACCAACAAGATCTTGTGGAGTGATCCACACTGCGTCGAACTCCTTGTGCTGGCGCGTCTTGATGGGCCGCAAAAACAGCAGTCGCCCTGGGGGGTACATGCTGAGCGGCTGGCCGATACGTGCCCTGCAGCATGCGACAACAAGGGGGATCCAAGGCATGCCCGCCTCTCGAGAGTGCAGCCCAGGAGCAGCATTGGAGTTTAGCGGCCGACCTGCTCTCGTAGTACCGGTGCAGCACCTCGCGAGGCTCGTCCGGAATGGTTTGGTAGCTGTGGAACAGTTCGGAGAGGCGGGCCTTGTGCATGCGCCAGCGCGGGAAGAACATGGATAGCAGAACCTGCAGCATGGACCAGCAGCACGGACCAGCAGAACTGGCCTGTTGGTCGGGGGGGGGGGGGGGGCACCATGCGATACTTCCCGCACCTGCAGCTTGGGCTGCCTGCAGCGCGCCAGCGCCGTCACCACCTCATCCATCAGTCGCGCCAAATTCGCAACAGTGCTCCTGGGAACTGCATCCTTGCCACACACCACTGCATTGATGAGCGCAGACGCAGCATGTTTCGCAAAAGCAGGTGGGCATCTCCCAGCGCCACTGCGCGTCGGCCTTCCTAGTGCACTCGTCGCCCAGGTGGCATACTTGCCTGTGGTGCAGAAGCGGCTCATGGCATGGGCGAGGTTCTTGCTGACCAGACCAGGGCAGCTATAGGCAAGACACTTGAGACCGGGGTAGGTCTCGAGCAGCTTCAGCGAGATCAGCGCCGCTGCGCCTGCGCCCAAACTGCAGGCTGCGCAAGTCCCATGCTTGTTCCATGTGGCGGGCATAAACATTGACAGGAGAGACTTTGGCAAAACACACTCTGTCCCACCTGTGGCCTTCCACGATGAACTGCCAACCCTCATCTTCTATCAAATGCCGCATGATCTCGCCCACCTGCCTCCCTGGTGACTGCTCGCTGCCGGCCCCCTGCAGACGCTGCCGCCCTTGCACTCCAGGCTGCTGGTCCTGCTGCTGGCTTTGCTCCAGTGCATCCCCTGATGGGCCAGCCCTCTCCCTGCGAACGGGGCCATTGCTGCCACCGTCCCCACCACTGACGCTGTGGCCGGTGATCATGTACTGCTCCGCTCCAGGAGCACAGCTGCCTGCATCAGCATCATATTGCGAGGCACGCTGCGGGTGTGCCAAGCCATCCCGCCGTGCCTCCTGCTGCTCAGGCGCCGTGAAGTCGGCCATCGCTTCGTCTCTCACCAACTGGACAGCAGCAGGATGCAACAGGGATGAAAGCGGGGCTGACATCTGGCAGCTGGCAGGGAGCACACAGAGGAAGCCGTTGTAGGCCATCCACTGTCTCCACAAGCCGGTGGATGTATGATATACTCACCTGCGGCAAAATGTCCCGCTGCAACATGTCCTCGAAGATTGCCTTGGCTGCGGCAACCATGCCGGCATGCGCAAACGCCGGCTCTGATAGCTCCTGCACAGCGGCAGGCGGGCCTTCAAAAGCAGGGCTCCAGTGTGCAGGACAACTCCACCTGCGCTTGCCTCTTTGATTTCCTGCGGCAGAAACGAATCCAACGGCTCGGGATAGACCACGGCATCCGTCACGAGGTCAGCGATGCTGATGGTGCCCCTGCAACTTGTCCACAACAGCAAGGGGAGCCAATTTCCTGTGAGCTTTGACCCCAGCCGGTGGGAAGGCTGCTGCACAGAGGGGGAAGCAGAGTGTCACAGGCTCGCTGCCTGCCTCCTCGCACCGTATAGCCAGCACCACTGCTCGCCGACCATGATCGGCGACCACCATGTAGGGCAGGTGCGCCAGCACGCGGTTGCTGCAGTTTACCATCAAAATCTCAACGGAGCTGCAGAAGGGCGGGGATGAACTGTCATTGTGCCGGGGATGCAGACTGTTCTTGCGTGCCGCTCCAACCAGCAGCATGCTCACCCTTCTTCCTCTAATTCCTCCAGCTCCCTCATTGCATTTAACACCACCTGCAGCGGCAGGATGTGTTCCTCGTCAAGGCGCAGTGCTGGGACAACCGCCCGCAGTCTTCTGTGTGCCAGCCTTGCACCAATACGTCGCCGCCCAGTCCTGCCTGCTGCGGATCTGTCGGCCGACCACAGCACGCGCAGCTGGCTACGTCCAGCCCGCTGGAGGGCGCCTCAATCTTGGGCTGCAGGCTGTACACTGCACGCACAGAGAAACGCTGCCGGCCTCAGCATCGAACGTTTGGCGACATGTGGAGTGATGATAGCCCCACTCACCAGCGTATGAGTACTTTAAGCAGTAAATGGCCTCCTTGAGCACAGACGAGGGCACCTTGGTGTGCCGACCTGCGATGCAGCACCAAGAGCACCGGAAGCCAAGCTTGGGCACTGGAAGGCACGGTTTGCCTGGCCTGGAATGCACTACCGCTTGCATGACACACCCGCATAGATGTCGGCCAGGATGGTGGGAGAAAGCACTCCTCGAAAGTCTTCCACATGCTCTATGATTTGGAGCGCAATCAAGATCAGTGCGGACAGCTATGGGCAGGCTGCCTGCTGCACATGTGATGCAATGCACCCCCGCCAGCAGCCTTGCCTGAGGGAGTGATAACAACCGGAAATCGAAGCGTTATTTGCTTTTGCAAAATGGATGTTGTTACTTCGCTGGAGGGACTGATAGCCCTGCTGCCCGCTGTCGCTGCTGACACCTCTGCCACAGCAGCGGCTGCGGCTGCATCGGCCGGCGGCGGAATGGCATCTGCCGCAGCGGTGGGTGGCATGCAGCTGTCAGGCGCGAGTCTGTGGCCCTCGCCTCCTGTGACGACCGCAGTGGCTGCCTCCACGGCCAGACCTTGCATCACGCCATCTGCAGGCTCTGCCACAACCTCGGATGCCGCTGCGCTGTCACTGGAGTCGCGGCTCCCGCCGCCGGCAGAGTAGAAGGGAGACTGCGCCGCCAGCGTCCCAGCAGCTGCTTGTTCCCCACGTTGCGTGCCCCCTGCCTTGCCTTGCCCGCTCAGCCTGCTGCCCCTGCTGCTCATGCCGTCCAGGGTCCCCACTTGGCGGCTGCTGGCAGTGCTGAACCAGATGCTGGGCGCATCGGGATCCACCTGCAGGGCAGACAGGTCCAGGCTCTCCTCCTGCAGGTGCAACATGGACCAGGGTCGACAGCAGCAGCGCAGAGCCCAGTGGAGCCACCTGGCCTCTTGATACAAAGCGCGCAGCCCTGAAGCCGCACCTTGACCAGTACGGCCTCCGACGACGCCTGCTGCCCGCCGCCCTCGGCCTGAACAATCTCTTCCTCGATTGCCCCCGCCAACCGATCCAGAATCTCCGCATGCTGCAGGTGTTCAGGATGGGGCACGCGGCGCGCCAGCAGTGCACATATGCGAGCAAGTCAGTGTGAGAGCAAGTCAGTCCCACTGCGGCTCACCTGGTCTGGCAGGCCAGCGGGCAGATCAGCCAACAGATCCCCCGCCACCAGCTCCGCTGCCGATCGAATAGCTCCCTGCAAGCCAAGGCATGGGCAGCAGCATCCTTATTGAAATGTTCAAGGCCTGGTATAATACTATGTCACTACTGAGGCAGCCCGCCCAGATGCAGAAGCTAGAAAGCCTGAGCAGTGTGCCTGTTCTGTGTGCTGGTGACTGCCTTCCTCCATCAAGGCCAGGCGCCGGTCCAGCACGGCCACATTGCCTTCGGTCAGCGGCAGGCTGCCGGCACTCTCTGCCACAGCTTGAAACGTGGTCTCCCGCCCCGCCGTGTGATACTGCTGGTGCTGCACCTGCCACTGCGCTGGTTGCGGCAGGCTGATGCCACCCAAGTCGGGATCCATCCGGTCTGCCTCCGTGTCCTTCCCCGGTCGTGTGGTCGCCAGCTCAGAGAGCTCCCTCGCCCAGCTGACCGCCTTGGCCTGCCTCTGCGGAATCCTTACAGGCTGGCGCCCACCTGCGTCGCCTGGCCCTTGCAGAGTACTCGCGCGGTCTAGCACTGTGCTGTCCTCCTGCTGGCGCTCATGCGACAATCGCTGCTGGGCAGCAATCATGTGATCTAGCTCCCTATCTGCTGGCACATCGTTGATCGAGGAGGCCGTGCTTCCAGCATCCTCCTCGCTGCCGTGGTCTGCACCAGCACGATGCAAAACTGATTAGTGCCAGGCCGGCACTGGAGGCAGCTGGGCGCATGATGTGGCAGCGCAATCACCTTCATCCTCGGTCTGCGAACGCTCGTCGGCTGCGCTGCTACCTGCCGTGCTGCGCAGCGCCCGGTAGACAGGCAGCAACGCCTTGGCAACACGCAGGCGGCGGCGGCGTTTCTGTGCTGCCGCTGCCAGGAACAGGCCCACGGTTATATCCGTCGCGTCCAAGTCGCAGTGAGAGAGGAGACCTGCAGGCGGAGGATGGGAATCATACCCTGGTGCCTTGCATTAGGCAAGTTAAACATCGATTGAACTGACGCAGTGACCGTATGCAAACCGTCCTCTGCCGCACCCGCCGTCAGCTCCGCGATGTTGGTCAGTGGTGCGCGCTTGCCGTCTGGGCGCCGAGTGATGTTTGCCTTACAGCAGAGCATGGCCGCGAGGCATTTGCAGCGGGCCTCCCAGCTGCTCAGGTCATGGTGCTGCGGGTACCTGTACGACAGGGCAACCGATGGCAGGTAGTGTGGCCAGGCATACTGCTGGCCCCTGTTGGCGGCGGCCAACAATCCCCACTTCAGCAGGCCCTGTACCCGTGGCCAAACATGCAACTCACATGTTGTATGTCACCGCTATGCCAATAACAGCGATAGCCAGGAATCCCCACGTCGAAAAGACCAGGGCCTGGGCCAGGTTGGTAACTGCAGGGAGCAGCAGTGGGGTCTCTCCGGCGCAGCAGATTGACTGACAACTCCGCACTGCTGCGGCTCACCTGCATTGCGTTGGTCTATTGGCCAGCAGTCGGGCTCCAGGTGTGTGCACACATGCGTGCCGAACACTGCACAGTTTGAGGCTCAACGCAGAAGTGACGTGGGGGGCCTGCGTATCCTGCTGCATGCCACGTTGAAAGCGCACCTGTAAAGCCTAGTGTACACACCAGCGGCCCTGTGGCCGTGTACAGCAGCGGCACCACCCAGCGCCGCTTACTGGCCTCAAACGGGGCGCCCTGCAGGCTGTGGTACACCAAGAGCACATCCACAGCCAGGTTGACAGCAAAAGAGCCCAGAAGGCCGCCGCCAAGGACCAAGTACTGCACCCCGCCGCTGCTGGAGCAGCGCCCGGGCCAGGCGCCGGTGACTCCCGCCCAGGTCAGCAGTATGACGATCCATGCAACATGAAAAAAGGCGGACATCAGGGCCGGGACAGCTACGATATCGGTTGAAAAGTGCCAGCGCCGGCCCCAGAGCTGCACGGAAGGCATCCCTCGGAGGGGCGGCTCTCTTCAACCGGAGTGGTGCATGGGGGCCGATCTCTGCAGCAGGATCCATCAATGAGACCCGCCAGCAACACGTCACAGGCTTGAGGCAGTGGAGGTGCTTTGATGTGTCGTAGGTGCTGGCCAGCGCCGCCCAGCCCCCTACCTGCCGCGAGATGCAGCAGCCAGCGTCTTTGCTGCCTGATGCCTTCAAGCAGTTCCGATCTGGGTTAGGCACCCCTACCGTCCGTCACGGCTGCCTGCACCGGACTTGGGTGCGGGTGGACCTTGGACGGCCGAAAACGAATTCCAATTAGCAGGCGGCAGCATTCGGGAGGTATCGCGATATTCTGCGGGTTCCTCCCTGCGTTATTAGCATTGCATTTTTCGGGCTTGCCACGTGGCGTGACGCGTAGCTGAACATTAATTAATTCAGATGCAATAGATTACCCAAGACAATCTATAGGCCCCCGGCTGGGCACAGGTGGCCCTTGAAACGCCCCCTTGCAGTTTAGACTTTTAGACTCTGCGGCTCTCTTGCCAATGAGTAGGCGCAAGAAGAAGGGCCGGGAACCCGATCCCGATGAACAGCAGTCACTGGCGCCACTGGAGGCACACGCTGCACTGACAGCTTGCGCAGGTGCCCTGGCGGGCGCGGTGGCGCGCTTTGTGGTGGGGCCGCTGGACGTGTTGAAGATCAGGCTGCAAGTGCAATTGGAGCCGATCGCCGCGGGCGCACAGACCGCGCACTACACCAGCATGAGGCAGGCCTTGGTCACAATTGTCAAGGAGGAGGGGATCAAGGTGTGAGGAAGGTGCTTGGGGCAGCCAGCCACAGCCCTCCGCCTGTGCGCCGCCGCTGCCCGTGCCGCTTGGCCCAGGTCATGCCGTGGCGCCGCCGTTCCTGTCTGTTAGTTGATTGAGTGGGTCAGTTGCTGCATTTTTCCCCGCCCAATGAATCGCCTGGCCAACCCCCTTCCGCCCGAGGTGCAGGGCCTGTGGCGCGGCACGGTGCCGGGCCAGCTGCTGACGGTGCCCTACACTGCCGTCCAGTTCGTGGCGCTGCAACAGTGCAAGCACCTGGCACGCCAGGCTGGGCTGCAGGACAGTCCACACTGGCAGAGCGCAGTTCCGTTTGTGAGCGGGGCGGTGGCGGGGGCGGCTGCCACCATGGCCAGCTACCCATTCGACCTGCTGCGCACTACGCTCGCAGCACAGGGCGAGCCGCCCGTGTACGCATCCATGACGGAAGCAGGTGCCTGAGCAGCGACACAGAAGCGGTGCCCGGCCGGCAGGCCAGGGTAGCCGAGCAGCCGGTTGGCTGTCGTGGCCAGGCACATCAAGTGCCATGGCGGCAGCACTGGTGGGTGATGCACTGTCCTGAAGCTGCTTGCTGCCTGTGCAGCACGCGGAATTGTGAGGTCAAATGGAGTCCGGGGGCTGTACCGTGGGCTTGGCGTCACTGTGCTGGAAATCATGCCCTACGCGGCGTTGCAGTTTGGCCTGTATGACGCCTTCAACAACACCTACGACCGCATACGGGTACGTGGGTTGGCTAGGTCCGCTACCAGCTTTGTTCCAACATGTTTTTGTTCAACATCGAAAAGGCGGCCCAGCTGCGTTCCCACACTGTGTCCCTCCTTTCTTGCAGGCCCAACTGGATCCGGCACACGCCGGCGACCCTCCCAGCAGCATGCAGGCATTCGTGTGCGGGATGGCTGCGGGCATGCTGGCTAAGCTGGGCACGCACCCGCTGGATGTGGCCAAGAAGCGGTTTCAAGTGGCGGGGCTGCAGCGGTCAACGCGGTATGGCCAGGTGCACTTGGAAATGGGGTTCGCTGGAAGCATGCAGCATTTTGCTCGCTTCAGCTAGCTGCAGCCCCCACCAGCTCAACAGTGCCTTTTCTGCGCCACTTGAGCCCCGGACATACACACAAACCGGATCCCCCCCCCCCCCACACACACACACCACCACCACCACATGCCTGGCTGCAGCGCGTGGCGCCCGAGGCGGTGCGCACCCTGCGGCAGGTGGTGCGCGACATTGCAATGAAGGAGGGGATGCCAGGCTTATTCAAAGGCGCCATGCCCTCCATCCTCAAGGCTGCACCCAGCGCGGCAGTCACCTTTGCAGCGTATGACTTTTTCATGCGCTGGCTCACAATGAACAACAGCCAAGGTGCAGCAGCACCAGATAGCGGCAGCAGCAATGCTCGACGACGCCCGCTACACTGATTTCGGGGTGATTGAACGCATTCCCAACTTTCTTCACTTGTTTTGCTCTTGCCTTGGGTCCTGCCCCGCCCTCCAACACTGCTGACAGTATTGCACCACAGCCTCTGGTACCATGCCACCTGCTATTCCTTAAATCGCACGTCTCTGGTTGTGGATCAAATTCGTTTACAAATGAGCTGCCATGTAGAGCTTTTGTCCACTACTAATGGAGGGTGTTGGGTCTACCACTAGGCGAGAGCGTTGGGCCTTCTGCTGCTCTGACGCAGACTCATCCATCAGCTCAAGCCACAGCAATAGTGCACCACTCATTCCCTGCTGCGCAGACATGTGGCATGGCTCTGCCGCCCGCCCCTCCTCTGCTAACATGAGAGGCAAGGTATCCGCCCTGTGGCTGTTACTGCTGCTGCTGGGGTGGGCTGTCGCCAGGAGCAGTCTGGCTGGCAGGGGTGCTGTTGACTGCGCCATTTGAGCGAAAAACAATGCTGCTCACAATCTGCCGCTGCTCCTCTGCACATGCAGCAGGATGGGAACATTGACATTGTATACTGTTTTCAACATGCACTTTCTGGCAGAGCCATGCTGCTCATGCAGCTACAAATGGAGCAGAGGTTGGATGCCTACCCAACAGACTGCTCACCAGTGAGGTCGGCGGAGCGCGCCTGCTTCCCCGCGCACGCCAGCTTCACAATGTTTCTCCACTTATCTTTGCAATCCACCTTGCAAGCGGGCAGGTTGGTAGCGCAGCAGCGGCCTGGGCAGCAGGCTGGCAACAGTAAACACAACCAGACAACCCCCAGTGTCCGCCACTTGACACCCTGCCCCATCCTATACCTGTGTGCGCCCCGGGTTGATGCGACCCGCGAGGACATAAGCCTCGTAGATAACAGACCATTGGGTGCCGTGCACTTGCACACCCTCAATCAACGCTGCCACTTCATCAGCAGCCCATCGTCCAAGCTGCCTGCGCTGTAGCCGCTCCCCTCGCCGCTCCTCTCTGCTGCCCAAATTGTTGCTGGCAGCAGCCGCCGTTGCCTGTGCTGCCTGTACTACTGGGCCCTGGACACGTGCATCCTCCCTGCTGTCCACCTGTAACACGGACAGCAGGGAAAATGCAGCCAATAGTCAGTGGCAACTGCCCGTGCTGGGCAGTCTGCACATTCGCCTCTGTGCAGCTAGACATGCAATGTAGCAACGGATGCATCCCAGTGGCCACTGTGCAGCTTGCAGCACGCGTTCTGTGCACACCTGGACAGTGCACGAACTGCTGCGCAACTGTCCCTGTTGAGCTGAGAGGGCGGGCGGTGCTTCTAGCAGGGCCTGATAGCTCAACCGTGCACCCACCACCTCGGCAGGTTGGGCGGCCATGCTGGTGGCAGCTGCCTGCTGCCAGTTCTGCTGCTGCTTCTGCGCATGAGTCTTCAGGCTGGCCAGCATCGCCTCCTGCTGCTCCAGGTCGCTGGTCTGCAGTGCTTCAACGGCCAGGGATTAGATGCCCGCACTCCCAAGTTTGTACCACCCCCTTTTTTATTGTCTCACTGGTGCTTCGGTACTAGCGCATCACCTGTGCCGCCGTGGCGATGTAGAGTTCGTAGGGCCCAGGGGCACGGTAGCCCAGGTGGAACAAGAAGACCTCATCGCCAGCAGGGGTGGCTGAGGGCAGTTCCTCCATTCCATGAGCCACCTCACCACCGCTGGCACCGGCAAACCGCTTGCGCAGCAGGAAGCGCGTGGTGCTCATCAGCTGCAGATAGGGAACATGGCAATGCAGCACGGTGCAGCTTTATTGTCACGCTGGTGCGCTGCCATGTCTGCCCTTCAAACATTTGTGCTGACCAAGCCCCTGCTGCACCTTGTCACCACGTTGCAGCTTGGCCTTGACAACTCTACGCTTCAGGTACTCAACCGTCATGCACTCGGGTGCCTCCACCACCAAGTCTGGCTGCGCAAGAGCAGGATAAGTACCATGTGCTTGTCATGATCACTGGCCTTGCTGCCAAATCTGCTCTACTGCCTGCCCCTCCACATCAACCTACCTGCACGTGATGGGTCCGGCTGGACTTGATGTGGAAGCGCATCAGCAGCCCACGTCTGCTGGCTACCTCTGCCAGCGCATCATCGAAACGCATAATGCGCAGGTGCTGGTCATACAGTGCAGCATCCTTCTCTGCCAGCACCTCCAACGCCTGGGGAGTCAGCGGCTCTGCGGGCTGCACTGGCAGCTCAGGTCCGGCTGCAGAGGGCAGGAATGAAGTGGCAGGAATGAAGTGGCAGGGATGAAGTGGGCCACGTCAACACTGAGGCGTAAATGCACTGTGCTGCCTGAGTTTTGGTGAGCAGGCGCAGGAATGGGTCAACACAAGCGAAGCAACCGCTGCATATATATATATATATATATCACACTGGCTTCACCTGACGGAAGGTCGCAACAAATACCCTCGAGAGGCACAGGCGGCTGCTGAAACAGATTCGCGTGCTCGGAAGCCATGCCCCCCCGCCCTGTATGACTGTATTCTACCTCCTCCTCCTCCTCTCCTACTTGCTGCAGGTGGAGACAGTGCGCATCCCGCGACTGCTTGTTTGGCCTGGTATCTACTGCAGGGCCCAGCAGAGCGACTGCACCAAGGCGTTTCCTGCGGGGGGCCAACCGCTGAATTGAGGAGGTTGCGCCGTCAGCCTGCTCCGCGTGAGCAAACTCCTGCTGCTGTTGCTGCTTCTGTTGCTGCTGCTGTTGCTGCTGTTGCTGCTGTTGCTTCTCAACCAAGCGGGGCAGCGCTGTATTCTCAACCAAGCGGGGCAGCGCTGAATTAGCGTGCCGCATCCTGGATGTGCGTCTCTCCTGTCCGCAAGTGGGGAGGTCAGAGGGTAGTCAACAGGGAATTGTCAGACTTCTTCTGCAGGGGCATAGGCAATCAGTCGTGCAGCACCATCACGCATGCCAGCGCTGCGCCCTTTCCGTGCAGCGTGGGCGCCTGCCAGCACGGGCGGGCGGGCGGGTGGACCGCCCGATTCCGTTCAAGCTGCCCAGTGCACAGCATCGGCGCAGCATCGGCGCAGGCACCCAAAATGCAACGCATGCAATGCTCAGCACTCCGGAGGCGCTCCCTGCCCTACGCGCAGGCAAACACCCGTCTGAGGCTTCGCTACACTTGCCTGCCGGAGGCCTGACGAGCTGTTTCGTGGCTTACGTTGCGTGGGATCCTGCAGGACGGGCCACGCAGATTAAGTGGTAAAACAGGCTTTTCTACTGTGCGCCGCCTGCTGTGCCCCACCAACTCGTGCTGTTCCCGCGCCCAGCAGGGGCCTTAGTGCTGCGCTTTGTTCTCTCCATCATGAGCATTCCTTGCATTTGTTGTGGTGGAAGAATGAGATAGGCGGCGTAATGAAACAAATGAACTAGGACCTCACGACTTCGTCTCGGTGCAACAATGAAACCGGTTCTCGGTGCAAAAAATGCGGCGCTGGCGAAAAAAAAAGGTGAAAGCTGCAAGTGCTGCTGCTGCTGCACCACACGCCATGCAGTGCATACGTTGGTGTGGCCCATGCTGGGAAAGAGGGTGGGGGGCAGTGTGCAGGGGTGGTGGAGAGGGCAAGGTGGGCATCAGAAGGGTGCCAGAAAGCCGAGGAGAGCCCACCAAGCAAGGAATGACCCTGCCCGGAAATGTACAGTCAGTCGGCAGGGGAGGGGGAGACGGTGCTTGGGCCGCCGCCGGCCTTTTGCCCGCCCCCACTGCCAGCCAGCGAACGATGCTGCCGGGCCTCGCTTTACACGGCCTTGTAGCCCTCCGGCAGGCTGCTGCCCGAAGAGCCGGCCAGTGCCGCGCCGCTCATGTACTCGTCCGCCAGCTGCACACGCTTCACGTTCTCCTGCTCCTCCACCAGCAGATTTCCGTAGTTCATCAGCGTGCTGAGGGGCATCTGCGAGCGGGAGGAAAGCCGGCAGCGGGGCGATTGAGAGACAGGGGCAAAGGAGCGGGCAGCGTCCCTCCTCCAATGCAGCGGCGGCCCCATTCCTCGAAAAACAGACTGCTCAAACAGACTGCTCCTCGGCCTGGCCTTGGTGAAATGCAACAGTATTTGGAGCCCTACTCACCGGGGGCTTGTCGAACTCGACCTTGCCCTCGCGGCTGTTCACCAGGCGCTTGCCGATGTTCTCCACACCCGTGCCCTGAATCCATTCCCGCACCTGGGCAGCAAGCAGGGTGGGGGCCGCAAGCCAGTGTCAGCGAGGACAGAGCCCAGAGCAGACAGCCAACAGAAAAGAGCAAGCACACCATCCCAAGCTTGTGAGCTCAATCCCCTTCCCCGCACTGCCACGGCCGGGCCGCACCTTGTCGTCATACACACGGGCACGCAGCGCGCCGAAGAAGTCGATGGACTGGCCAGGGAAGGCGTCCACCAGCGTCTCCACGTCGGCGCGGTCCACATTGTCGTGCTGGAAGATGCCCATGCACACGCCAACACGATCCTCGCGAGTGGGGCTGCAGCCAGAGAGCAGGGGAGGTCTAGTCAGCATGCAGCAGATGGAGCAACAGCCTGCGCAAAGCCGCTGCCCATGCGCACTGGTACTACGTGCAAGAGCCATAGCGCCAGCACCAACTCACTTCCAATAGTACTTCTCCATGCGGCCATCGCGGATCAGCGGGGCGTACAGGGTGGAGAAATCGTTACCAGTGCACACAATGGGCACGCGGGGAATCTCCTCGTTCTTGTACACGCCTGCAGACGGTGGCAAGCATTGGCTGATGGGCCGTATGCAGCTGCAGTAAAAGTGCGCCGGCGGCTGTGCAGCGGCACTGATGCTGCATTGCCTTGGCGCCTACGGCTGTGCCCTCAGCTCACCAGGCAGCTGCACGTTGGTGGGGTTGTCCGCAATGTTCATCAGCGTGGCATTCACCATCTGCAGAAGCGAAAGGCGGCAACGTGCAAGCATCAGCTCGGCAGCGCACCACTTGCGCGCCCACTAATCTCATGCGCGCCAACTAATCTCACCGAGGCCCTTGCCACTGTTCAGTTGAGCTCAAGCTCAGCCCCCACGCCCAAAAGGTGGCCCACATCTGGCTGTTGCTCCCAGCGCACCACACACAATACTCGACACTTGCTCTCGCAAACTCCCAGCAGCAGGCGCCACAATGCACCGCGGCGTTGGCGAAGTAAAGCAGCCGAAGCGCACCTGGTTGTTGACGGTATACTGGGTGGCATCGCCCATGCGGCCGGCACCGGCATCCAGGTCGTTGATGAAAAGGGAGCTCATCCTGCCCTTCTTGATAATGTCGGAGGCCTCGCGGTAGCGCTGGCGGATCAGCTTGGCGGGCTCGCCCGCATTGCCACTCTCCAGCTCGCCGGCGGACATGACGATGGGGGAGATGCCCAATTTCTTGTAGGCCAAGTTACACTGGAAGGTCTTGCCTGCGAGAGGAAAGAAGGGAGGAAAGTAGAGACATTTCGATTTTCAGGCGGCAACCTCGTGGCATTCCCCGGCTTTTCGCCGTTTTCCTGCTGTTTACCCATGCCCGCGCTCTCGCGCTGCGCACAGCAACCTCCGCTGGTATTTTTCAGCTGCCCCCCCCCCCCCCCCAACAGCCCATCCCAGCACACCAATCCCCTCCAGCCCTTCATTCACCCTGGCCCTTGCCACCCCAGATGCCCAGGATGAGGGGAACCTTGATCTTGGGCAGGTCCAGGAAGTTCTTGGCCACGTGGATGGAGATCTTGTCCAGGAAGGCGGGCGAGATGTAGAAGCCGTCCTCGATGTTGTTGAAGTTGCGCTGGGCCTGCAGGGCAGGAGGGAAGGCGGGCTGGGTGCTGGGGTTGAGACCAAACACTTGGATGCTTCCGACGTGTGCGGCTGCGGCTGCCATCTGCCAGACGCAGCGCCAGGCGGGGCAGATGCTACACAGCCCGCCGCCGCACCGTGGAGAGGTAGTCCTGGGAGGAGAGGATCGCGTTGTGAGTGCCGCCCATGCCCTGGCCGCCCTGGAACAGGCTGTCCACCATCTCGCGGCCGCGAGAAATGTCCTGCTGGTCGTCCGACGCGTCCATGCCAGCGTCCATGCCCTTCCACCGGCCCTTCTGGGACGGCCTCTGGCTAGAGGAGCTGCGGCGCATGGTGGCAAAGGCGCCATTGCTCACCTGCAGCAGAGGGGGCAAGGTGGATGCACTCGGTCAGGCAGTTGGGAACGGCAGGCAACACAGGGGCGGGGAACGCGGCCACTGTTGCCCCCATGCAGGAGCGAACAACATCAAGTGCGATGCACTGCTGTCCCCCGGAGCGCGACGAGGGCTAGAGGAGAGGAGGTGCTGCGCCGATAGGAGGCCGCGCTGCCAGCCCAGCCCAGCGCTGTGTGGTTTCCCCAGGGGAGCGGAACACCAGTTGGGGGTGCAGCCACTCCCACGGGGGCCCATAGCGAGCAGACCGTTGGGGCAGGGGCTGGCGCCAGCGGCGCTGGCGGGTCTGCCTTGCAGATAAGCTGCGGCGGCCTGGCGCCAGGGGCAGCCACAGCGCTCACATTCTGGCGGGTCACGCGTGCGCCGCCCAGGACGGCGGTGGAGCCGGTCACCTTGGCGGTGGAGCAGCTGCAGCAAGGCGAGGGGCAGTGTGGGTGTCGGAGCAGGCGGGGGGCGGGGTCTGCGAAGCTCCGTTCTTTGGTAACAGACACCCTGGGGGCTGCTGGGCTGGGGCGGGAGCCTGGGCGGGCCTGTGGGGGGCGCTGCGCGCAGATGTGCACCTGGCAAGGGGAGCCATCCTGCTGCTGCGGTGTCTCTGCTGGGGGAGGGGGACCAGGAGAGGATGGAGGGGAAATGCAGCAGCGAAGAGGGCCGATCGGGCGTGGGCTGCCGCCTCATCATGTCATGCGCCGGGCGCCACCCATGCAATGCACGAAGTTTTGGCGGATGGCCCTTTGTCTCGCGGAACCCGAGCCCAAGCTACAGCATCAGCATGACCGCAGAGGCGCAGCACCCAGCAAGGTAGCTGCACAGACTCTGCACGGGCGCTCTGATCGGCCCCTCTGGGGCGCCTCCAGCGCTGCCACCCGCCCTCCTGCAACCCCTCTGCACCGCAGGCTGCTCATCAGCTCCTCCCGGAAGCCCATCTCCTATGTTCCGGCGGCAAAGGTGGGCGGGGCGGCGGCGGGTCCTGGGCGGGCAGGCAGGACGTCTGCTTCGCGGCATCTGCTGCCGATATTGCTTCTGCTACAGCCGTTTATTGCGGCATCGCTCAGCACAGCCAGCTGCTGCTAGGGAACAGACCCACGGCATGGAAGAGTTGTGAGCCTCGTATGGCAGTGCACCACGGTTCGGGCCACCCATGCCGTCACCGGCATCCCTGCCGCCGCCCTTCCTCACACCTGCAGCGCCTCCTCCAGGAGCATGGCGAGGTGCACTTGTCGGCTCTAGGCATTGCATGCAGCAGCATGGTAACGGTGGCGGAGATACTGAAGAGCCGCAGGTGAGCTGCAGACGGGCAGGCACCAGCCTGGGAGGCTGTGCTGGGGAACCGCTGTTGGCTTGTGGGTGTGCAGGACCACTCAAGGCTGTGATGCCAGTATCCACTGCTTTGCATGAAGCCATGCTGGTGTCATGTTGCTGAGGTGCCATCCACTCATCCACGCAGCCTGGCGACCGAGAAGCGTGTAGGCACGATGCTGGAGCTGCTAGAGGATGAGCCACGTCCACGGCAAAAGCCCAAGATGGAGGTGCTGCTGGTCAAGTCGGCCGAGGTGCGGTTAGGTAGCAACGTGCAGTGAGAGCCGCACACCTACAGGCACCAGGGTGCGGCTGCCTGGCCTCCCCTGGGTCAGCAGCACGATGGTCTCTCCTCATCTCCCCCGCCTCCTCAACCTTTTTGTTTCTGCCCGCTCACAGTTCGACTCCATCATCGCAGCTGAGAAGGAAGCTGCTGCCGCCGAAGCCGTGGAAAAGGCAGCAGCCGCTGCAGAGAAAGAGGCGGCCAAGGAGGTCGAGGCAGGCAAGGAGGTCGAGGCCAAGACGGCAGGCGAGGCTGCCACGGTTGGGGAGGTAGACGATGCAACAGCGGATGGAGCCGAGGACGCAGTGGCAGAGCCCGTTGTCTAAGCTTGGGACTGCAAATAGACTGCCAGTGACTGTTCGCCCGCCATGATGCGCCATGCACTTGCATGCCAGTCCGGCAGGCGGAGCGGACACTTGTGGGCACTTTTACGCTGGCCTCATGCTTACGCTTCTGTGCTTACGGTAACTGCCAGTTCCCCCTGTACCTGCTATGCCCCTTGCAGTTTCCACTTTGCCCCTGCTCGTCCCTTCCCTGTATGTGTCTCCTGCCCTGCCCCTTTCCCCCCCAACCCTCGCGTACCTCTGCATGCATGCCAAATTTTGAGCAACATTAACAGAGAAAACATTGTTGTCAACGAATGAAACTGTAAGCAGAAGTAAACGGAACGTGTTAGAGGACAAACATGATACATAAGCACGTCACGGTGGCAAAGTACGTGCCGCAGGAGGGTCAGTCTTTCTTGGCATCGCCGCCACCATCATCCGCTGCATTGTTCTCTGCTGCCGCGGCAGCCTCCACCTCCTCCGTCAGCTCGTTGATATAGGAGTCCAAATCTAAATCTTCCTCCTCACCATCCACTGCCACGTCGTACCCACTCCCCTCCTCCCCCTCCTGGCTGCCCGGCTGCGAAGTGTTAATGGCAACCTGCGCTTGCGCATAGCAGGCATAATCAGCAACAGGGAGCCTGACCAGCACAGGATGTGCTGGTGTGTGTGTGTGTGTGGGGGGGGTGCTTTTAGGCCGGCACAGCTATCCATGGCAATGCACCGCACCTGCAAGTACGCCTCCAAGTCTGGATCCTCCTCGAGCATGCCGCTGGCAGGAGCCGGCTTGGCTGCCGCCGCACTAGCGCTCGCTGCCTTGCCTGCAGCACCTGCGCCTAGCACTGGCTGCATAGCGCCGCTCGAGCTGGTGCCGGTACTAAAAGAGGTTAGCTCCAGGCCAGCAGGGCGCGCCGCTGACGTAGCACTCTGCAGCTGACTGCCCAGCCGCATCAGCTGGTTTCCCAGCCCCGACAATGAGAAGGGATCGTCCTGCGGCTGATCTGCAGCTAGCGAGCGGGCAGGACGCATTTCGGAGACACAAACTTAGAGTTTGGTTCGCAAGCCAGGGGCAGGCAACAATGTGTGTGTGCCACACGCATGCTCGGCTTGAAGGTGCAGCTGCCTGAGCGGCTCCAGGTAAGCAGCTGCTGTGGTGCCCTGACTAAAGCAGGTCCCTCACCTGTTGGTTCAAAACTGGGCAGCACATCAGTGGCAGTCCAGCTGAACGCCTTTTCAGGCAAATACTTGCGTGCCAGCGTGAAGTAGACGTGCCAAAAGTGCTCATCCGTCATGTACCTGCGGGGATAGGCGGGCACAGCAGGGACAGGCAAGCACAGTGAGCTCCCCTACCGAGGTGCCATGCACTGCTTGCAGTTGGAAGGGCCACTGCATCGTTTTCTGCTGGAGCAGGCGGCAGCAGAGGAGGACAGGGCTGCATAACTCACTTTGGACACAGCACAAAGCGCAGTTCGTTGACCTCCTTGAGCGCCAGCACCACCAGCGTGGCATGCCGCACTTGCCATGCATTCAGTTCGAATGCGCCGCTGCTGCTGGCGACATCGGGGCCGCCTGTCGCGCTGCCTTCTGATGCGGGGAGCAGGTGCTCAGCGGGGAAGTCACGGAAGGTGCTGCAATGCGGGATGCAGCGGGCAGCGGTTGATGAACTGCAGTGGGCAGTAATGCGCCACCGGCTGCACAAAAGCCTGCTTGCACGGCGCAAGCTGCTGGCACCTGCCTCACCTGTAGTTAATTGTACGCACAAATTCGGCAAAGTCGGGCGTGATGCCAAACGCGTCGAGCTCTGCAGGCGATGGTGGCACCTGTTTGGGCGGCCCTGCCCCCACCTTGTCGTGCAAGTTGAGATTCAGCTTCTTGCTGGCCTCCTCCGCGCTGGCCTCCACCACCTCCTGCAGGAGCAAACGGCGGAGGGGGTGGGCCCAACGACAGGCAGAGGCGACGAGCGGGTGACGGGCGGCGGGCGGAGCGGGGCTGCAGCCCAAGGGTGTGCAGCTGGGAGCCCGACGCGCCCTGAGTTGCTGCGGGTTGCCCACGCACCAAGCCCTTCTTCCCTAGGTCCTTTGCCGCAGTGGCGGCCTTCTCGGCGGCGGCCTGGACATTCTTCCAAAAGTCCATCAGGTGGTCTGAGCTATTTCTGATCGTGCAAGCAGCAGCTTGCTGCAGTGGCTAGTGACGCAAGCGGGAGAGGCAGGTGATCGCCGGCGAGAGGCCGGGGGTTCAGAGTGCAGAGCGGCCCCACAGTGCTTCTGCTGTGGCTCAATGTTAATCATTCAAGCGGGGCTGAAGGTGAACACGCCTCATTGGGCCTGCTGCCCCTGCTGCGTTGTTTGTGCATTTCAGGCAAGCTGCGCCGGTTTTGGATCGATCGTTCGTCAGCTCATTCAACACACCTGCAGGTTCAACACACCCGGCTGGCCTGCGCGCCTTGCCCACCTGCACCTGACCGCACCTGACCGTGACTGTGCTTCGCTGGGCAGCCCTCCGGCACCATGTTTGGCAAGCAGGCGTACGAATTGCTGCAAGAGGTGGCGCAGTGCCCCGCAGACAACCTGCCGGCGTTTAATGTGAGCTGTTCGAAGCGCCGCCGAGCGCCTGCGCCGTCGTTCTCTGGCCCTTGCAGCGAGTTGCCCATCCTGTTGCAACTGCTCACGCAGGAGGAGGGTTTCCGTAGCATAGTAGACGAAGTGCACCTGCAGCACGAGCGTCTAACTAGCGTGTACAAGTGAGGCGGCACTGCGCAGCGCTGCAAGTGACCATGCAGGCGCTGTTTGTGCCATTGTTGTGGTGCTTGTGCAAGAAACGCGATACCTTGTTGCTGCTGCATCGCCCCTCCTGCCCTGCCTTGCAGCGAGTCGCGGGATCGGCAGCGGCAGCGGCAGCTGGAGGCAGGACTCGATCCGGAACAGGGGCCCGCTGGCTGGCGAGGCACGGAGGCGGAGGCCTCTGAGCTCATGGTGTACCACAGCGGCATTCTACGCAACAAGCGGCTAATGTTCACCTACGTGTAAGCCAAGACGGGCGGGCGGGGCAGCACAGAGAGCACATGTGATTGTGCGGCCAAAGTCATCAGGGGGCATGCAAGTGTTTGCATGCAACATCAGCTTGCGACACTGAGCGTGCCCTGCCCTGCCTTGAACCCCTGCCTGCTTGCGCGCGGCAGCAAGGAGCGCGTGGACCGCATCCAGGAGCTGCGCTGGACGCACCGCACGCTGCCGGAGCACGTGAAGGCCAACTTGAGCCCGCTGGAGCTGCAGTACTTCCGGTCATACGACAAGCTGCTCAACAAGTACTGCCGCACCGGTGGTGGCGGCGTGGGGCTGGACCTGACCGCCGACCCGACCCCGCCTGAGGACCCATATGTCCAGGTGCGGATGCACCGGTGTAGGGTGGACAGGCGTTGGGCGACGTTGTGTGGGAGATGGGGACGAGCGTGGCGAGACTGGGCAGGCTATCCGTGATGTCTACTTCCCTGCTGCTGCAGGTGCGCGTGCTGCGCGACTACAGTGATGTGGTTTTCAGCAGCGGCAAAGTCAGCTTGCAGCGCGGCAAGAGCCACTGGCTGCCCAGGGACGAGGTGCACCCGCTCATCATGGATGGCGTGTTGGAGCTTGTAGGCGGCGCCGGCAACAGCTAGCGCTGGCAGGTACGCCTACGCGGGTGGCAGTTTCCACACAGTTTCACACATTTAATGTCCTATGTCCTTTCTTCCTCCTCCTTCCTTTTCTACCACTTCTATGCTGCCCTGCTATTCTTACTTTCGGTCATCAGTTGCCTCCTGCTTGCCTGAGATATTGATTGATGATCTTAGATGTAAAGTTGGCGGTACCAGTGCAGCTTGCCGTTCTTTAGCATGAGCCATGGCAGTTGAGAGCCAATTTGTCAAGGCAACAGTAGCACAACTGCACCTGGGATACTGCTGGCTGTTACCCACTTTGTTTGTCTTTACGACCTGCCCTCCGGACTCCCGGGGCATTTTCTGTGCTGGAGGATCAGCAAAGTGACCAAAACCAGGCTTTTGCCAGAAGGGATCCTAGCTGATCAATCCCAGCTGATCATTGGTCCAAAATACATGTAGCTTGATGTAGGGTCCCTACAGAGCGCGGCATGCCATGCACGCTGAGCACGCTGCGCCTGCTGCAACAACCAACAACCCCCATTTGCTTGCATTATTCATTTGCTTTTCCGGAAAGCCTTTCCCTCTCTTCTTCCGCTATAGAACCATACCCTACCTGACTGCTTCTGCCCCCCGGCGGGACAGTGAACCGCTTACATTTGCCACTGGCCCTTCGTGTTCGTCGGAACTTACACAGAGCCCAGGCAGGGTGGACGTGAACGGACGAAGCCGCTTGTGCATTCAAGCTGCGCCCACAACAGCTGAACGCCCTCGAGCCGCTCGGGATCAAAACTCAGCGTGATCAAGCCCGGTCGTGCCCGGGCCTGGGGGCTGAGCGGAACAGGCGCCACCGCTGGCTGCCGCCGCCGCCCCCATGCCGGGCGTGCAGTGCGTCATCTGCCTCTCCTCAGACACAAGCGCTGAAGAATGGTGTGTGTTGCGGGAGTGTGGCCACGTTTTTCATACGCACTGCCTTGTGCAGTCACTGGAGCACAACAGAAGGTGCCCGCAATGCAGAGTGAGTACGGTGGTGCACAGCTCGGACCAATATAGCTTCCTCCTCCTCATCCGCTGCTTCACATGCACTCCCCGCTTGCAGCAGAGGGCCAGGCTAGCGTAATAGCTCACTTGGCCCCTCTGCTACCCTGACCTACCCCGCCGCCCTGTGCAGGTTGAGTACAGCCGCAGGAAGTTTGGCATCCACAACCCACCCTACCTTCGCGTGTTCTTCGAGTTCAGCGACGAGCCAGCCTCGCAGCCACTGCCGACTGGAGACGCCAACGGCAGCGGCGGCGTTGACCTACAGCAGGTAGCCTTCCTGCAGGGCCAGCTGCGTGACAAGGACCGCCGCATCCAGACGCTCAGCACGCAGCTGGCAGAGGTGCAAGATCAGTCGGAGCAGCTGGAGCAACAGCTGACGCTGGCGCGTGCGGGGTGGGTGCCGGTGCTTTGCAGCTGCGCTAGGAAATGGCGGGAGGTTGTGAGAGGGTGTCTGCCTTGCTGCGTCGTGGCGCGGGTTACACATGTTTGGCTATGCCCAGCCACTTAACCGAGCCTTCTGCCACCGGCGCTTCGTACCTATTGCAGGGTACGGGAGAAGGAGATGCGGCTGCAGGAGAAGATTCAAGAGCTGGCCCGTGAGCACAAGCAGGTCAAGGGATTAGCCAACCAGGTGGCCAACTTGGTAAGTGAGAAGGCTTGCCTGGGTAATGGTGTCAGAACAGCGCAGGGTTCCAGGGCAAACATGACTGCGTGTCACCATACCCACTGACCATACCTTATGCCTGCAGACTGCACAGCTCAAGGGCGAGGCTGCGCGTGCCTCACTGCTGGCGCTAGCGTCGGACCACACCCTGGCAGGTGGGGCATTGGCGGCCGAGGTGGAGAAGCTGGTGCAGCTAGGACTCAAAGCACCGAATGACTTTTGGGAGAAGCTAGTGAGTGAGCGCTCTCAGGTCATCATCACTAACAGCAACAAGCATGCACGTGAGAAGGCGGCACTGGAGCGGCGGCAGCAGCAGCTACAGGTTGGTGCCGTGCTAAAGTCGCGGGTGGGATGCAGTGATGCCACCGCAGGCAGCCGATGACAGCTGCTGGCCAAAGACCCTGCCATTCTCACCAGCGCGCAGACATGATGGTCCTGTTGATGTTTTGCATTTGCTAGATGTCATATGGCGCTGTCCTGCACTCCTCATTTTCATTCTCCCGCCTCCACCCCGGCTCCACCCCGTAGGTGGAGTTGGCCAAGCTTCAAGAGCATGTGGCGACTCTGAAGCGACGCCTCGTGGCAGCTCGGGAGCAGCAGCCAGGTGGAGTGGCGGCGGTCGAGGCCGAGCTTTGCCGGGAGTCGCGGCCACGCGGCAGTGCTGCCGGACCTGCCGGCGCCAGCCGGCATGCCAGCCGGCGCTTTGGTGCCACCGCCGCCAGCTTGGCAGGGTCCACAGCGGCAGCAGCAGCAGTGCATGAGGAGGACCCACTGGTCCACAGCTACGACTTGCTCAATATGCGGCAGGTAGATATAGCTGCTGCCACCGCAAGCCGGCGGCGCCCCTTGCAGCAGCACCAGCAGGAGCAGCTTCAAGAAGCACCTGCGCAACGACCATCATCTGTTCGGCCTGTGCGCAGCTCAGCGGTGGCACCAACAGCGGATGGCGGTGGCGCAGAGGACGAAGATGAGCTGTTGGTGCTCGATGGGTCAGAGGAGCAGATGGAGGCGGAGGCGGGCGGCTGCTACAGCGAGATTGAGTCTGATGTGGAGGAAGAGCAACGGCAGCAGCAGGCAGTGGCAACAGCACCGGCTTTGCAGCAGCGGCGGCAGCAGCAGCATTCACTGGCCGCGGCAGGCACCGTGTTGGGCAAGCGGCAGGCAGATGCTGCTGTGCTGCAGGTTCGGCCCCGGATGCTGGCCCCCGGCAGCAGCTCCGCCCTCGGCAGCCAGGCCGGCACGCCTGATGAGAACTACAGCAGTGGTGGCAGCCATGGTGCGCCGCTGATGGCGGCGGCAGGGCCAGGTCGTATGGCACTGCTGCATGCGCCCGGGAAAAGCTTCATTCGCAATGCTGCAGCAGCCAGCGTGGGCATCGACCGCGGCAAGTACATCAGCAGTGGGCCGGATGGCAAAGGTGGCGTGGCCACTGCCTACCAGGGCGGCCCCGGCGGCGCGCCCATGCGGGTGAGTGGCAGTTGGAGCTGCGGGCTGCTGCGGGCACAAGCGAGTGGAAGATGTTGAGGCCTGTTTCTCCCGCCATGTGCGTACTGCAGCTGTCCCAGCAGCAGATCGATGTGCGGGCCCTGCAGCAGGCTGGCAGCAGCAAGAAGGCACGCTCCGGCGTCGGCGGCACCGGCAACAGCGACTCGGCACTGCGCCGCAACAGTGCAATGCCAATCACCAGCTTCTTTAGCAAGGCGCAGCATTGAGGGGGGGTGTCACCTGTAAGAAGAAAAAAGTAGAAGAAGACTTGATCATGATGGGTTTGAATCAGAGGCCTATTGGCCTCCCCCGGGGCCTGTCGGCTGCTGCTGCTCCGCAACCACCCTCAGCCGCCGTGACTGCCCTTGCCGCCGCCACTGCCCTTGCCGCATCCTCCCCACCCCACCTTTGAAAGGTTCTGCAGGTTGACGCGGGCTGGTCACCCGTACAGCCGAGGCGGTACACCCAACTCCCAAGTCCGACTGCGATCAGGTATGTCTTCTTCTTCTTCTCTTCTCTGGCGGCGTGCTTGGGTGGGCAGCTCAGTACTGTAGCGGCAGAATGGATGCGCAGCTTGCGGCGGAGATGGAGGGTCTGAAGACAGGCAGCACCAGCGAGTCGCTGGTGCGTAGCTTGGATCGCCTGAAAAGGCTGGTTTGCCACGCAGCTTCCGATGCAAGCGGGTGCTTCTGCCTTGATGCCGCTGTAGGAGGCGGAGCGTGAGGCTCGCAAGGCTGCCAAGGCGGCTGAGAAGGCAGCAAAAGAGGCCGCCAAGGCCGCCAGGGTAGGGTTGCTGCCGCCGACAATGCCATGCATCACCGCTCTTCGCCGCCGCTGCTGCGCTTGAAGATGTTGAGGTGCGGGCGCCAGCAATCAGCCTCCCCCATCGCTGCCGCCGCCTGCCGCCGCACCGCAGGCTGCACAGCGCGGCCAGAAGCAGGGTGCCGCCACGCTGCCAGACGCCGACGACCCGCTGGCAGCGCACTATGGCGACACGGAGCTGGTGCAGAGCCAGGGGCAGAGTGCACGCGTGTGGACCGATGTGGCAGAGCTGACGCCAGAAAGAGCGGGACAGGCGGTGCTGGTGCGGGCGCGTGTGCACACTGTACGCGGCAAGGGCAAAAGCGCCTTCCTGGTGCTGCGTCAGGCCACCGCCACCGTTCAGGCAGCACTGTTTGTGGATGACGTGAACGTGAGTAAGGGCATGGTAAAGTATGCCTCCGCCATCCCCCGCGAGTCCATCGTGGATGTGGAGGCCACGCTGGTACTGCCACAGGCGCTCATCGAGGCCTGCTCGCAGTCGCAGGTGCGGGGTGCGGAAGTGTGGAGTTGCCCCGCTAGCTGCTGGGCATGGGGCATGAGAATCATTCGTTGTGAGCTGTTGGATGCAGCAATGAGCTGTTGCAGGCAGAACTGCGAGACTGTGCATCAGAGCCGACTGTGGGGGCTGGTACCTGCCCTGAACTGGCTGTCTGCTTGCTGCTCAGCCCTGCATGCCTGCTTGCCTACCCACCCACTTGGATGGTGCAGGTCGAGCTGCAAGTGACGGCCATTCATGTGGTCAGCCGCTCCGCACCGCTGCCATTCGAGGTGACAGATGCAGCACGCAGTGCCGAGGCAGTACGCAAGGCGGCTGAGGCGGGCAAAGTGCTGGTCACAGTGGGGCAGGTGCGGCTGTGTGCTGGTTGCTGGCGTTTGAGGTATGCCGCGCTCTGCATGCTGATCGCCAACCAGCTGGCGACCATGCCTCCTCCACCTCCCCTGTCACCTCTCTCTCCCCTGTCACCCCTGCAACCTCTTTTGTGCAGGATGTGCGGCTGGATAACCGTTACGTAGACCTACGCACTCCTGCCAACCAAGCCATCTTCCGAGTGCAGTCAGCAGTATGCCATGTGAGCTTGGAGGCGGGCGCCGTAGGAGCGCTCCTGCTGCATCCTGCTGTTGTGGTTGGCCCTGAGCCCCGATCTGGGTCCTGGCTATTGGCCCCTTGCCCCTGCAGCTGTTCCGGGAGAGCCTGCAGGGACAGGGCTTCATCGAGATCCACACACCCAAGCTGTTGTCGGGCGCCAGCGAGGGCGGCGCCGCTGTCTTCCACTTTGATTACATGGGGCGCCCGGGCTGCCTGGCACAGTCGCCTCAGTTCTACAAGCAGATGGCCATCTGCTCTGACCTGGCTCGCGTGTTTGAGATTGGCCCCGTCTTCCGTGCCGAGAACTCCTACACTCACCGCCACCTGTGCGAATTCACGGGGCTGGACATGGAGATGGCCATCCATGAGAGCTACCATGAGGTGCTGGACGTGTTGGACGCGCTCTTTGTGCACATGTTCAAGGTGTGTGTGGAGCGTGGGGGCTGTCGGGAGCACCTCGCAGTCCGCCGTTGCTGCTGCACAGCGCAAAGGTATGTACAGAAAGTGCCATAGCACAGGGCTGCACCAGGTGGCAAAAGCTTGGGCTAACATGTCAGTTGCTTGCCGTCGCCAATTGCTGCCACAGGGCTTGAACGAGCAGTATGCACGCGAGCTGGAGGTGATTGGAGAGCAGTATCCCTTTGAGCCCCTGAAGTTCCTGCCCAAGACGCTGCGTCTCACCTTTGCAGAGGGCATCCAGATGCTGCAGGAGGCGGGTTACGACGTGAGTGGCTGCGCCGGCAGCAAGCAGATAGCAGTGACAAGACCAGTGGCACCTGGTCTACTCCCGCACGTTGCTCACTGTAAGTAGCCACTTGCCTTGCTGACTGTGGTCCCTTGGCCGCATGCAGGTGGACCCGTTTGGCGACCTCAACACCGAGCTGGAGCGTGCCCTGGGCAAGCTGGTTAAGGACAAGTACAACACGGGTGGGTGACAAGTTGGTGTGGCATGCGCGCATGGTGTGGCAAGTTGGTCAAGCCAGCCTCGCAGGCGTGAAACATGCTGTTGGCGTGCTACACTGGCCGGGGTCCGCTGGCACCAGGGCTGTTGCCTGCTCGCTGAACTGGGCGCTCGCTACATTACTTCCCTGCAGAGTTTTACATGCTGCACCGCTACCCGCTGGCCATCCGTCCCTTCTACACCATGCCCTGCAAGGACGACAACCGCTACTCCTGCTCCTTTGTTATCTTTATCCGCGGCGAGGAGATCATCTCGGGGGCGCAGGTGAGAGGGTGCTTCGACAGTGGTATTCTTTACAGGCACTCCTGGCAGAAGATTAACGGTGGTTCCAGCAAGCTGGCATGGTGTGCCAGGTTTGCCTTAGTAGGTGCACGTCATGCTGCCGTTCATGCTTTCCTACGTCCTGGCCCCTCGCCTCTGCCACCGGTGTCTGCAGCGCGTGCACGACCCGGTGCTGCTGACGCAGCGGGCAGTGGAGCTGGGCCTGCCGGTGGATACCATCCAGTCGTACATCGACTCTTTCAAGTGGGTTGTGAGGGCCTGCCACAGTCGGGCCAGCTGTCGGCTGCACCGCGTCCCACACTCGCGTAGCCAGATTTCCTGTCCGCCTCGCCATCATGGTGTAGGTACGGTGTGCCACCGCACGGCGGCGCGGGCGTGGGCATGGAGCGCGTGGTCATGCTGTTCTGCGGGCTGGACAACATTCGTAAGACCTCCATGTTCCCCCGCGGTGAGCAGGATTTTCCCGGGGAATATGCATGTCACAGTGCAAATTTGTTCGGGAGAACAGACACGAGCAGTTGTTTGCAGCAGTGCAACAGTGGCTGGGTGCTGGTATCCTATGGATCCTGCCGGTCAATTGCAGCCTGCTTCATGAGCACCGCTGCCGCCATGCACGCAGACCCGAAGCGGTTAACACCCTGAGACTTGGCCACAATCTCCCCACAGCTTCGCCGTTCGGCTCCACTCTCGGCAACCGTGTGCTCGGCAGTCTGCTACATGCGAACAACAATTTTTCACAATGAAATCAACTGTAATCAGGTCTCCGATTCAGATTTGGTATGGCTGTAGTTTTCAAGTGAGGGTAGTGAAGCACAGGCGAGGGTAGTGAAGCACAGGCGCAGCACCTGCAGCTAGAACTGAGCCCAGCACCGGGTGCACATGCCTGCACAGTTGCCCTGCAAGCGGAGAGCAAGCAAGCAGCAACGAGGTGGGCAGCATGAGCTAGGCCAACATTGCCCATCGATGATTGCATGTGCAGTGGGCGAGTGCCCCCCCGCCACGCACCTCACAGTCGATGAGATTCCCCAGCACCCGCGGCTTGCGCTTGATGGTGTTGATTAGCACGTTGCCCTTCAGAAACCACTTGTTGCGAAGTATTCCCACATTCTCCTCCATCACATCCACTCGCAAACCCAGCACCTCGGGAAAGCTGCTAACAAGGCCGCCTAAGTCAGCCGGCTCAGCAATGCCCAGCTGAGAGAGGAAATCCAGCGCCGCGGCTACCTGCTCCTGGCAGGCACACTGCTTCACCCGTTCCTGCAGAGGAGGGGCGGTGGCGACGGCAAGAAGCAGAAGCAGAAGAATGACACATGTGGATGACTTTGGGGGAGATGCGCTGTCAGCGCACGACCCAAAGCAATCGCGACGGCATAAGAGTGGGATGCCGGGCATGTCGTTGCACAGCTACCTGGCGCCAGAAGCCCTGCCCCTTCCACCCAAAGGCTTTGAGCAGCGCCGATTCCGCCGCTGCCGCCTCGAGCCCGCACCGCTGCTGCACGACCTCGCTGCATGCCGCCCACTGCTCTTGCTGCTCCGGCGCCAGCTCAACAGCGGCCTCTGGCACCGCGCGTGCAACTGGTTCCACAGGCAACCTGAGGGCTGCCCTGTTGCCGCTGCCATGCCGCCACAGCTGCAGGCGGCATCGTGCTGCTGCTGGCGGGGCGCGCGGGCAGCCGAGCGGTGGCCAGCCGCCCAACATTGGCCAGCCACCTGTTTGGTGGCAGCAGACCCCAGACAGCAGCGACTGTGCCTGCGGGCAGGAGATGGCAGGGTGAAAGAGTGGGCAGGAGAGGTGAGCAGCCCGCCTCACGAGGCAGCTACTACCCGCAACACCCACCATCGCTACAGCTGAACTGCCCAGTGGTGGCTTCGAAATACACAGATCCCTGCTTCCATTTGGGGTCGAGAGGAGTGTTGCCAGCCTGGTCCATTTCATGGCAAACACGGCGGCGGCGGCCAGGCAATAAATTCAGTCATTATAGCTTCCGCCACTTCGGCACCACTCCAAGCCAGCTCGCGTGGCCTCTGGTGCGCTCGCAGAGGTTGGACGGTCTGCGCGCACATGCATGTCGCAGTGAGCAACATGCAGTGAGCACACAAGGCGAGTCGTACTAGGGCACTCTGCTGGGCAGGCACACGTCCCCGTGAGTGGGCTGCATTGCCAGCACTGCCCCCACTCCTTGCCTCGCTCCTTGCTCCACACACAATTTTCCTCAGCGACACTGAAATGCCCACCCCTGCAGGAGCGCTGCAGAGTCGGCTATTTTGCGAGGGCGCAAGGGCCACCGCCGCCGCTGCTGCCGCCACCACCACCGCCATACAACAACCGGTCGGCGGCGCTTGGCTTCCCACAGCCCAACAAGACGCCATGGAGGACCTCAGCTCGCTGCGCCTCAGCCTGGGCGTGCGCAGCGTGCGCACTTTTGAGGGGCAGGGCGCGCCGCCGCCAGAGGCACCCACGGCTCTCACCCTTGGCCAAGAGATTTACACCAAGTTTGCAGGCAAGACGCAGCCGGAGAGTCGGCAGCTGGTAGCGATCCTCGCAGCGGTGCAGGAGGTGGTCCGGGCGCAAGGACTGGAGGTCACGCCCACCGCCATGTTTGCTGCGCTTATGGCCAGGTGCGCTGTCCAGCTGCCTACCATTGGTGCGCCCCCCATTGTACCTTGTCCCACTGGCATCCTTAACGTGCCGGAAACCATGTCGCCGTCCTCGTTGGACCCCCATCATATGCATGGCGCTGTTGGTCCCGGCCCTACGCTGCTGCAGCCTGGAGAAGCCAGAGACGCTGGCCAGCGGCGAGGTGTTGGCCGCCATGTGCCACCTGCTGTCACTGGTGCTGGGACGCGTGCCCAACCAGATCCTGCGTGCCAAGTTTGCGGCTGGCAGCCAAGTGCTGTGCGGCATCCTGGAGGCCAAGCAGGTGAGGCCAAAT